GGATTTAACTTATCTTTTGTGTTAATGTCAAGTTGCATATTATATGCCATATCCCATAATCCGCTGATGACGACATTGCACCCGTGCACTCCCAATTCTCTGCTAAGATATTATTTAAATCACTCAAAAGATCAGATGTCAGGTAAACTACACTTAGAAGATCATGTGCAATGGATTTGATCGAGAGAGTGTTGGTAAGAATCGAACGTGTGCTCTTCAAGTAAAGTTAAATTCAATATTATTTAGATATAGACGGTTTGGCTGAGTGGTCTAAAGCGCCAGATTTAGGTTCTGGTCCGAAAGGGCGTGGGTTCAAATCCCACAGCCGTCAATGGATGTTTAAAAAAAATAACCTCACAAAAAAAAATGCTTTAAAAAGCAAAATACGAAAATGAGCAGAAAACATATTTCGTCATTTTAAAGGTTACTTTTTAATCTTTTTGAAAGAATTGGATTTAACTTATCTTTTGTGTTAATGTCTAGTTGCATATTATATGCCATATCCCCATATCCCCTGATGACGATATTGCACCCGTGCACTCCCAATTCTCTGCTAAGATATCATTTAAACCATTCAAGAGATCAGATGTCAGGTAAACTGCACTAAGAAGATCATGTGCAATGGTTTTGATCAAGATGGGGTAAGAATCGAACATGTGATATTCAAGTAAAGATCAATTCCATTTTATTGAGATATACACGGTTTGGTTGAGTGGTCTAAGGCGCCAAATTTAGGCTCTGGTTTAAAAGGGCGTGGGTTCAAAACCCACAGCCGTGAATAGATGTTTAAAAAATAGCCTTCTAAAAGAATTGGATTTAACTTATCTTTTGTGTTAATGTCTAGTTGCATATTATATGCCATATCCCATAATCCTGATGACGACATTGCACCCGTGCACTCCCAATTCTATATGCTAAGATATCATTTAAATCACTCAAGAGATCCGATTTCAGGTAAACTGCACAAAGAAGATCATGTGCAATGGGTTTGATCAAGAGGGTGTTGGTAAGAATCGAATATGTGATCTTCAAGTAAAGATAAATTCTATTTTATTGAGATATACACGGTTTGGCCGAGTGGTTTAAGGCGTCAGATTTAGGCTTTGGTCTGAAAGGGCGTGGGTTCAAATCCCACAGCCGTCAATAGATGTTTAAAAAATTGCCTAAGAAGAAAAAATGAGCATTAAATAAGGTTACTTATTTTTCTTTTTGAACGAATTGATGGTAAATACAAAATATATTGTAACCTCTAAAAGAATTGGATTTAACTTATCTTTTGTGTTAATGTCAAGTTGCATATTATATGCCATATCCCATAATCCGCTGATGACGACATTGCACCCGTGCACTCCCAATTCTCTGCTAAGATATCATTTAAATCACTCAAAAGATCAAATGTCAGGTAAATTGCACTTAGAAGATCATGTGCAATGGGTTTGATCAAGAGGGTGTTGGTAAGAATCGAACATGTGATCTTCAAGTAAAGTTAAATTCAATATTATTTAGATATAGACGGTTTGGCCGAGTGGTCTAAGGCGCCAGATTTTGGCGCTGGTGCCCTGCCGTTAATAGATGTTGAAAAAAAATAACCTCGGAAAAAAAATTATTTAAAAAGCAAAATACGAAAATGAGTAGAAAACATATTTCGTCATTAAAGTTTACTTTTTAATCTTTTTGAAAGAATTGGATTTAACTTATCTTTTGTGTTAATGTCTAGTTGCATATTATATGCCATATCCCCATATCCCCTGATGACGACATTGCACCCGTGCACTCCCAATTCTCTGCTAAGATATCATTTAAACGATTCTGATTGGATTTAACTTATCTTTTGTATTAATGTCTAGTTGCATATTATATGCCATATCCCCATATCCCCTGATGACGACATTGCACCCGAGCACTCCCAATTCTCTGCTAAGATATCATTTAAACGATTCAAGAGATCAGATGTCAGGTAAACTGCACTAAGAAGATCATGTGCAATGGGCTTGATCAAGATGGGGCAAGAATCGAACATGTGATATTCAAGTAAAGATCAATTCCATATTATCGAGATATAGACGGTTTGGCCGAGTGGTCTAAGGCGCCAGACTTAGGCTCTGGTCCGAAATGGTCATTAAAGGTTACTTCTTTTTCTTTTTGAAAGAATTGATTTTAAATACTAAATATATTGTAACCTCTAAAAGAATTGGATTTAACTTATCTTTTGTGTTAATGTCTAGTTGCATATTATATGCCATATCCCATAATCCCCTTATGATGACATTGCACCCGTGCACTTCCAATTCTCTGCTAAGATATCATTTAAATCACTCAAGAGATCCGATGTCAGGTAAACTGCACTAAGAAGATCATGTGCAATGGGTTTGATCAAGAGGGTTTTGGTAAGAATCGAATATGTGATCTTCAAGTAAAGATAAATTCTATTTTTTTTTTTAAATATAGACGGTTTGGTTGAGTGGTCTAAGGCGCTAGATTTAGGCTCTGGTCCGAAAGGGTGTGTGTTCATATCCCGCAGTCGTCAATAGATGTTTAAAAAATAGCCTCCTAAGAATAAATTATTAAAATACGAAAATGAGCATAAAATAAGGTTATTCGATCATTAAAGGTTACTTCTTTTTCTTTTTTAAAGAATTGATGGTAAATACTAAATATATTGTAACCTCTAAAAGAATTGGATTTAACTTATCTTTTGTGTTAATGTCTAGTTGCATATTATATGCCATATCCCATAATCCCTGATGACGACATTGCACCCGTGCACTCCCAATTCTATGCTAAGATATCATTTAAATCACTCAAGAGATCCGATGTCAGGTAAAATGTACTAAGAATACCATGTGCAATGGGTTTAATCAAGAGGGTGTTGGTAAGAATCGAATATGTGATCTTCAAGTAAAGATAAATTCTATTTTATTAAGATATAGACGATTTGGCCGAGTGGTCTAAGTCGCCAGATTTAGGCTCTGGTCTGAAAGGGCGTGGGTTCAATTCCCACAGTCGTTAATAGATGTTTACAAAATACCCTCAGAAGAAAAAATGAGCATTAAATAAAGTGTTGCAAAAATCTCGCCGATTAATTGGTGCTAGGTGATCCCCAGGCGCTTAGTGATTTTTGTAACCTCTAAAAGAATTGGATTTAACTTATCTTCTGTGTTAATGTCTAGTTGCATATTATATGCCATATCCCATAATCCCCCGATGATGACATTGGACCCGTGCACTATCATTTAAATCACTCAAGAGATCAGATGTCAGGTAAACTGCACTAAGAAGATCATGTGCAATGGGTTTGATCAAGAGGGTGTTGGTAAGAATCGAACATGTAATCTTCAAGTAGATAAATTCCATTTTATTGAGATATAGACGGTTTAGTCGAGTGGTATAATGCGCCAGATTTAGGCTTTGGTCCGAAAGGGCTTGGGTTTAAATCCTACTGTCGTCAATAGATGTTTAAAAAATAGCCTCCGAATAAAAAATTATTAAAATACGAAAATAAGTTTGGTCATTAAAGGTTACTTTTTTTTTTTTTCTTTTTGAAAGAATTGATGGTAAATACTAAATATATTGTAACTTCTAAAAGAATTGGATTTAACTTATCTTTTGTGTTAATGTCTAGTTGCATATTATATGCCATATCCCATAATCCCCTGATGATGACATTGCACCCGTGCACTCCCAATTCTCTACTAAGATAAAATTTAAATCACTCAAGATATCAGATGTCAGGTAAACTGCACTAAGAAGATCATGTGCAATGGGTTTGATCAAGAGGGTGTTGGTAAGAATCGAACATGTGATCTTCAAGTAAAGATAAATTCCATTTTATTGAGATATAGACGGTTTGGCCGAGTGGTTTAAGGCGCCAGATTTAGGCTCTGGTTCGTAAGTGCGTGGGTTCAAATTCCACAGTCGTCAATAGATGTTTAAAAAATAGCCTCGAAGAAAAAATTATTAAAATACGAAAATGAGTATAAAATAAGGTTATTCGGTCATTAAAGGTTACTTCTTTTTCTTTTTGAAAGAATGGATGGTAAATACTAAATATATTGTAACCTCTAAAAGAATTGGATTTAACTTATCTTTTGTGTTAATGTCTAGTTGCATATTATATACCATATCTCCCATAATCCCCTGATGACGACATTGCACCCGTGCACTCCCAATTCTCTGCTAAGATATCATTTAAATCACTCAAGAGATCCGATGTGAGGTAAACTGCACTAAGAAGATCATGTGCAATGCGTTTGATCAAGAGGGTGTTGGTAAGAATCGAATATGTGATCTTCAAGTAAAGATAAATTCTATTTTATTGAGATATAGACGGTTTGGCTGAGTGGTCTAAGGCGCCAGATTTAGGCTCTGGTTCGAAAGGGCGTGGGTTCAAATTTAGGGACGAAAAAGTGAGCACGAAAAGTGCAACGCCAATAACGAAAAGTGAGCACGATCATTAATTAGAGACGAATTCTACAATTACCTTATAACTTAGGAACGAAAAGTGCATTTTTTCCTTGATTTATATTTGTGATTTCCTTATTTCTTATTAATGCATCCCTCCTACTTATTTAAAAATAAAAAGTAGGTTTAAAATATTTAATAAAAGAATGTAACATTACATTATCCTGTTAAAATAAAAAAAAAATAAAAAAAAAAGACCCAGGCCTTAGTGTAATTGGTTTGTGGTGTGACTTAAGGGTTCAAATCTTACTAAAAGAATATATGAGAAAAAAGTTCAAAGATATTGGAATGTTTAAATTGGATCCCTTATGCACATGAAGGCTATAATCTGACCGGAAAAAAATAATAATAATAATAATAATAAAAGCAGCTAGCGGCTAGCGGATAGGGTGATTTGTTGTCTCCATCTCCTCCAAAATCTGAATATGAATTGTGTCGAGTGTTTATTTGGAGAAAAACGGGCGCTTATCTCGGCAAAACATTTGGGATGTTTATCTTACAAATCTGGCAGTGCAAGTATTATTATAGAATCATAGATAGATAGCACAAAATGCCTCCAATAGAAATAGCCAAAGGAAAGTATTATGTTAGTTACATGATAGATTAGAATAGATTAGATAAGATAATTGCATCTATCTATCCTATAATCCATCCCATCCATGACATGATGACAACATTGCAAAGATCATCGTACTCATTCCGGCGACAGGGATCCTCCGGCCGCATTTGGGACAACGGTGGCGTTTATGGACCGGAGATGAACGCAAGTGGGGGATCGCAGCTTCCCCTTCCCCATCCCCGGGAAAGGGCTCAACAAGAACGATACAATTGCAAAGACATCCATGCAAATGCAAGAGTGGGCGGCGTAGCAGCGGCAGCGGCGGAGACAAATGTGAATCCGCCGGTCGCACCTCTGCCGGGTTCAAGATCACACACCAAGCCCATCACCTGTGGTTTCATCACTTTTTTTGGGCGTTGTGGAAAGGTTCATACCTCCTAAACCAACCCCTTTGTTGTCCCCAAAAAAAGAAATGAATTTTTTTTTTATTAATTTCATAAACAGTTTCGTGAATTCCAGCACAATTGCATTACCAAATATGCGCTAATTCTTGTACACAAAAGGAAGTTTGGAAAAGAGAATAGAAGAAAAGAACAAATGAATAATTAGGTGCGCTGTTGTTTCCATGTAGATTGTCTGTCATCCTTTAGGTTTATACCTGTGCTGTTCATTCATAACTCCAGTTGGCAATATTTACTATAGTCGATTTCTTTCAATCTTAAGCAACATAACAGGTGCTCGGGCAAATCCTCTGCCTTGTTTCCCTGCATGAAAAGTTATGGGTACATTAGTTGTGCGTCCGGGGAGTGAATTCTCACCTGCCTAGGGATGTTAATACTTAATAGCTACCTGAATCGTCAGACCAAAATCCAAGACAAAGTTCTTCACTCTGTCATGGAATGTTTCAAAGCCTTTCCTGGCAAGGTAACTGAATCTGTGAATGTCCAAATCAATCTCAAAGTAGTTTTTGTCCTGCAACAGTTGCCATAATCCATATTAGTAAGTACTATCTGAAGAATTTCCATGTTAAAGTTAAGTTCCCATCACCGAATTGAATTGTGAAACAATGCTACCCAGTCTATATGTGAAAGACTCTTGCATCAACTCACCAGGTAAAATTCATGTTGAGGACGCGAGAGAACAGGTTTTTCATTATAGGCATTCATGAGCTTCTTTTCTGTTGCGCTTAATTGAAGGCCCTCTATATTAACCACTCGACCTAGGATTTTCAATCTTTCTCTGAAGGGTGCGCTTGTATCAATGGGAAATCCTTTAATCTTTTCTTTTTCGTCATGGATCAGCTTCTGTTTGATAGAATGCGTGGAGGAAAAAAAAACAACAAATGAGAATTTCATTCTAATTTATTATGGCTACAGCAGCAGATTATAAATGTTACAATCCAACTTACCCTGATATTTTCTTGAAAATGGGCTGGAAGTTCTTTTGAGTAATTTTCTGAAAGTTTGAAATAGAAAACGAAACTCACTCCTTCCCCATCATATTCATTTTGAAAGATTGCAGCAGAGTACAAAGGGATCTGCAAAGAAAGATCATGATATATTAGTACAGAATACTTTCAAAATACTGCATCCACATGAGTTTTTTATGGTATGTGTTGACTGTTTCTATATTCTTGTAAAAAGCCTCCTGTTCTGAAAAGACAATCTAGTGAAAACAAAGTATAGAGTACCTGAAGATTTACAATAAGTATGGGAGGGATCTCTCCTGGTGAATCAATGGCTGGAAGTTCCACAAAACGTGCAATGTGATTGATCTTCCGTGGTGATAAGAACACATCAACACCAAACGGATAAAATGCAGCAGAATTTGGTGCAGATTCTTTCTTCTTATCCCTGCAAAGAAGAGAAGTGAGATAAGGGCATAGCATTTAGTAAGACCAAATTCATTGAGATTTAACAATCATATCATAGACTACAACTTTTTCTTGTCAGAACCAAAAGCCAATCAAATAAATGAAATCCTCTTACCTAATGTAACTCGGACCTCGGACTTTGAAGGTGTTTGGTTCAATTGATGACCAACATTCAGAAATGTTCTTTTCCAGCGGGGAACATGGAACTTGAGAACCGGCTATTGGTCTTCGTAAAACAGCATTTGGAGGCACTGTGATGGTGAACAAGTTTTTAAACATATTAGTAAATAAAATCATTGTGAGTTGAGAAGGTAGAACATAATAACTCATCAAGGAATTATTAGAACACTAAAACGCCAAATGCAACACTCTCTTTCAATGGTTAGAGTACACAATGTATATATGCATTTCATTCCCACATTGTATGCCAGATAACTTAGCTTCATCAAGAAACTGAAATCAAGGGTAGCTGCCATATTTTCTAGGGGATCAAATTTTGCTAAACATATTTCATTAATAAGGGAACCAAAAAAAATAGTAGCACTTACATAACGAATGACTTTCCAGGGATTCTCGCCACTTGAAAGAAAACTTGTGGGTGAAAGAAGATTTTCTTTTAGTGCCAGGTGAAGTTGGGACTAGAGTTTTTCTCTTTTCACCTGGGGAAGCAGTGCAAGCAAGACAAGACATACATCTATTCTGCAGAATTCCACAACTATGAAGTGTTTCTGTTTCAACTCTTCTGCCAGGATTGTCACTTTGACCAATCTGTTCGTTAGAGTCTTTATTTACATGGTCCAAATCCTTATCCTCCTTCGGAGGGTCACATGAAATCAGATGAGAATCATTTGAAGATCCAACTGATATTTCACATGGTTTTGTGTCAGCAAAAGAATCTCCATTATAATATGCAAGATCAGCAAATCTCGGAGAAACAGCTGTTGACATAGATCCACCTCCACTCTGTGAAAGAACTGCACATTTTCAAAACACAACCAAAATCAACTGCCAATTTTGCTAGGTTGTTGGCAAACAATCAACAGTCACCCTAAGAATTTACCATCCTGAACACTATAGAATTCATCATCACCATCAGAACCAACTCCTGTTTCCGGGTCAAACCACGATTCGTTGTTTCCTGTTAAGTGAAACAACAGAATGCTAACAAATTTTAGAATTTTACATCAAAACCATAGCAATAATCCTAATATCCTTAAGAGATGAATTGCAGAAACCAATGAGCACTAACTATGGCACAACAAATCTTGCAGCCCTAACAAGTGATTCGAATCATAGAACAACAATTTTAGGATATTTTTAAATAAAAAATAAAGCCTTTAACAACCAAGTAACCATGATTATTTCATTTTTTTTTCAATTTTTCTTAGGAATACATGTTAACCAGACCAAGGCTTAGCAGAATACTACTAGAAACGAAATCGTAACCCTACTTCGTATCAACAATGAATCAAGAAAAGGTAAACAAAGAAACCTAATTCAAACCACAATATTCGCCAAAAAAATAGCTAAAATCGAGTTAACAGTAATCCGACTCGACTCATAGTACCTTGGAATGTCGGATTGCAATAAGACGAATTCGCGGAACCGGAAGGCTCCACTTTGCTGAGCTTATTGTTGGACAAAGAGCGGCCCCTTACCACCCTCCGCCGCCGCCGCCGCCGTGGCTTGCCAAGATTCAGGCAACCAAATCCCTCACAACCTCTCGGAGTCGACCCAGAAGCTCCCATTCTCCTCTATCTTCCACGACAGTGAAATTGAATGATGGTGAGACTTGAGAGGGAGCTCTGGTGGATCAATCACTTATATAAGTGTAGTGGGAAAGGGAAAGCCGCTTCTGGAACAGGAACAAACCACTAAGATCAAAACTATGATTTCATCATCTCATATCACATCATATCATATGAGATCGCAGAGGAAATTGCATCGAGGAACAAGCAACAGAAAAGCGATTAAAGAAAGAAAGGGAATAATATAATATGGGTATGGGTCAACGACACAGGTCGTTGACTGTTATCGTGCCTCTTCCATCCGTGATCGTAGTGACTGGCACGTGTATCATTCCCGCGTTTCAATACGCGCCTACTTCGGTATCTACTTATATATATAGTAATCACAGAATTAAACGTGGGTTAATTGAGTCCAGTTAACGAATAAATTCCACTACTGTGAAAAGAATTTTGGAAAGTTCTTGCCCAACTACTTGTATATAAAAGTGTATTTAATTCGTTACTTTATGTTCATTGAAATAAAGATTTATTTTATATCAAATATGGGTTACAAATTACATTTCAATTTAATTAGATTAGTTAGTATTTTTTTAGGTAGGATCTGTTTTATATTTTTTTAAATATTTTTAATTTAAAAAATTTAAGTTCTTATTTGAAATGGTAATCGGAATATCACATTACATGGTAGTTGACTAATTAGGTAGTATTAATTTCATAATTAATTTTAAAATAAAAGACAACTAACAACAATAAAAGTTCCAACAACAATATGCAAACAATAGCAAGTTGTAACAGAATGATGCCAACAGGCAACAGCAGCAGATTAATTGCCTTTAAAAATTGATGTCAACACCAGCAAGATACATTAACATCTTAATACCAACCAACAATAATACAATGTCAACAATAGCAAGTAGCAACAACATGATACCAACAACAAAAATGAACTTTAATTTCTCTTAAGTAGAAAGAATACTATCTTCATGGACGGATCCAGAAAGGAGCACTAGTATAAAAAAAGAACATAAAGACTAACTTTTCGTTACTATTTTTAACAGAAGGGTAGGATATTGTTACAAAAAAATTCACGATGACAAAATTGTAAATACTTAAACAAGAATTCGTGACTATTTTTAAATAAAATAGTCGCGATTTAAATAAAAAATAAAAATAAAAACAAAAACGCGGGTAGTTTCTGCAACCGTTCCACTTAGAACGATTGCGGAAACTACAAAATTAAAAAATTAAAAAATTAAAAATCGCGATCGTTCCCCTTAAAACAGTAGCTAGATTTTTTTTACACTACAAATAAATATACTATTCGTTTCTCTTCCAACCCTTCATTTCACCAACAACAATTTCTCTCTCCATGCTCTGCTATTTCCCTCTCAGACTCTTCTCTTCATTTCACCATTTACCCTTCGTTTTTCTCTTTGTTCAGAAGGTCGTTGCTCGGAGCTTCAGAATAAGAAGAAGAAGAAGAAACTCCGGTCGGCTACACATTTACCCTAACTTCCAAGTTCCAACCCAAAGGCTTGAGTTCGATTCCCTACTAGTTTAAATATGTAAGTAAATAATTTTGGGATAAAATTAATATAATGAACGATAAATATAGTATCATTAATTAAACTAGTGTTTGTACCCGTGCGAATAGGCCTGGCAATTCGTGTAAACGAGTTCGTTAACGGGTCGACACGATAAGGCTAAACACAGACACGACACATTAAGGTTAGCGGGTTCAAATTTTTAACACGAACACGATTTGTTAACTGGTTGACACGATAGACACGTTTTGTTAACATGTTTCGGGTCGTGTCGATACAATATGGCACGAAACCCATTTAAACCCGCTAAACCTATTAATATTTTTAAAAAAAAAAAAATTTAAGTTAAGTTATATAAAAAAGAAATAAACCTACAATTCAATCCATCAAACAAACAAAAAAAAATATTCAATTTATAACATTCATAAAATAATAAAATAACACCCAAAAATCATAATTAAAGAAGTCATGCTAGTTTTTAGAATAGAATTGAACACAATAAAAATTCAAATTTTAGATTGTTGAACATCAATAATTATATTGGTGTAGGATCTTGCCTAATGTAATAAATTCATCCTTAATCATGTTCATGATATCTTTTGTAATCTCATTCATGAGTCATGACAATGGTTCTTACCTAAATCACAATGGTTCTTAACGGGTTATAAACAGGTTTGTGTAAACGGGTTTTTAACAGGTTTAACGGGTTGACATGTTAAGACACGAAACATAACGGGTCAACTCGTTAACAACCCGGGATACGTTAAGGCTAAACACTAACCTGTTATTTTTGTGTCCAGTTTCGTGTCGTGTCCATAATTGACAGGTCAACGTACGAATGAACATTAATTATACAATATATATCATAATAACAAAATATTTTTTAAATTTCTATAGAACAAATTATTTACTAACAATTAACATTGAAATTGTATTACAAATTATTGAAAACTTTTTTTTGAAGGATAAAGCTGTATTATATTAATGAATGAAAGCAACAATAAAGTCATGAGGGACAGAGTCCCAGTATAACGAATTAGACTGATCAAAGGCTGCTGAAGCAAGAGAATGAGCATGTAAATTACTAAATTTAAAGCTCTAAAAACTAAGCTAACAAAACAATAATCGAACATAGACATAGTTGTTCTACACTGATTAATGGTAAAACCCACATAGGACAAGACGAGCAAATGAACAGATAAAAGACTACTACGAAGCTCTGAACAATCAGTGAAAAATCCACAGATAGCACATTCCGGTCTTTAAGCCACGATAACACTTCCTTGCAAGCTAGTGACTCTGCCATTAGGGGTGAGAAGCAATCCGCGAGTAATCCATCCATTACATGCCGCTAGAAAACCCCCGCAAGATAGCAACACAGCCCCGAAGGATGCCGTCCCCGACGCTGCCCTGAACCCCACATCGAAGTAACATTTCGGCCGGACAGATGTAGGTGGCAACACGGCAGTGTGTGTCGGCGGCTAGCTTCTATGATGTGTTTGCCTCCAGTTGAGCAACGACGTGGACGCCATCTTCCAGACTGCATTCGGCGCCGGCTTTTTGTATACAACATTTTTAGTCGTACTCAAAAATTCTTCATTATTAAAAATGGATATGGTCATAACTGATGGACTGAATCAAAACTTGAGTGTAACTCATAGATCAAAGATGCAATTTCTAATTTATCTAATTATATTATAAATAATAATTTGCTATTAATGTTTATAATTTTAATATAATATAATTATAAAAATAATAACAATAATTAATAAAACTGGAACATGAGACTTTCTTATAAAAGGGGAGCCTCAGGCTCACTTTGGGAGGAGGGCAGTATGGAAACAAAACTATGTTTCGACAGTCTGCCAATGCCCAACGCTGGCGGTTTGTTCTCAAAATGCTGCCAAAATTAGTTGTTAACCAAATAAAGTTTTTTTTTTCCCAAAAAAAAAAAAAATTAAATAAAGTTTTTGACATTTTGACTCGGTCAAATCATTAAAGTAGTCAAATCCACTAAAATCTTGTCAAAATGTCATTTACCAAACAAGGAAAATGTTACATGTACTCTCATTTTGTACTTCTAATTTGTATTCCCACACACAAAACATTAATGTAGTCGCTTGTATTAGGCCCATATGAAGAAAATAACTTATCAGAACCCGCCACGTAAGGGTTTAAAATTTAGGAAGTACATATAGTAAAACTCACCAAACAAAGCCTATTTTCACCTAATAACACCAATTTAACATTACTATTTATTTCCAAATTTAATAGTAATTAAATCTCCATCATTAGTACCAAAAAGATTCTCCGTAATTACAAACTTCAACATTATTGAGTTAAATCCTTAACTTAGTACCAAAACTATAATAACTATAAACTTTATTGTTTCAAATCTTCAATTACAAATTTTATATTAGTAGATAAATCATCATTTTAGTACAAGATAATAATTACAGATTTTAACATGTGTTCTTCAAATCTTTATCTGCCATCTCAAAGGTTCAAAATATAAAAAGTAATCCTAGTAAATTTCATTATCGTATAAAATTTAACATATAAATTATATTTATAACTTAATAAGTAACTCTATTTCTTCTAAATATTCAAAATACATATTTATTCATCTATGAGTGTGAGTGCGGGTTCAGGGCGGGGATACCTCTTGCCACACCATCGCCACACCACCCCATACTTGCGCAGGTATAAAAAATTTATCTCCGTCTTAAACTTAATCAGAAGTAAATATGCATATGCACGATACCACAGAACCATATCCAAGCCTAGGGTGAATGTGTGAGTGAGATCACAATTCACAAGCAGCAAAAGATATCAAATTCAATGTCCAACTGTGTGTTTCAAAAAGCTATATAATACAAGACTAATTACAAGTACCCATAACACCATGAATATATCTACATATTACTAATCATTCTAAACAAACATAAATTATTGGTTTCATTTATAACCTACACTATATTATACAGCCTTACTAATGCATGCATATCCATAGTCACTAGAAAAGGATATCACAACACCTTACACCTTACTAAACATTGTATTTCTAGGCCAGTTGTCCCACCCAAAAGAGGTGCCTACAATTCAGCGAGGAGATTAGTCACCCGACGGCGGAAACCCTGGGTACACCCAAAAAAAAACACGGTATTAAAACTTATTCCAAATGTAAAGCTGTGTGAGGGGGTCGTTACATGGGACTTCTGCTATCTTGTTTGTTGAAAATTAACGGAAATTCATCATCCCCCTCGTCAGAGAAACCTTGTTGTGCAGCCATAGTCTTCAATGCTTCATAAACCTGATACATTGACCACCTATCCTTGGCACCAGAAACTACACAATTGCATGCAATTTTTAGGAATTGCACAATCTCTTCGTCGTGGCCCTTTCCACACAAGCTCTTATCAATGACATCTTTAATGTGACCTGATCCAGAGACCTGATTTACCCAGTCCACCAGAGTCCCTTTAAATCCTTCTTCAGCAGCTCCAACAGCCAGAGGTTTTTGCCCTGTAGCCAACTCTAAAAGCACTACTCCAAAACTATAAGTATCTCCTTTTGTTGAAGGAACCATCATTGTGCTTGAGTACTCCGGAGCTACATATCCAATTTCACCTAGATCACCTTTCACATAACTAGTCTCGGCTCCATCTGAAGGATCCATAAGCCTTGCCAATCCGAAATCCATTATCCTAGCATCGAAATCCTCATCCAACATAATAACATGGGAACTGAAATACTGGTGCAAGATTGGTGGGTGGCAACCATGATGAAGCCAAGCAAGTCCTCTGCTAGCACCTAAACCGATCCTCAACCTAGTTGGCCAATCCAATATACTCGGATTCCCATGCAACAGTGAAAACAGAGTTCCACTGGATAGGTGTTTATAGACCAACAGTTTTTCTTCTTCTACGGCACAAAAGCCCAAAAGAGGCACCAAATTCGGATGCCTAAGCTCCCCTAACCTATACATCTCTATCCGAAACAGCTTCTCACCCAACTTGCAAGTATTAAGCCGTTTGGTCGCAAGTGCAGAACCATCACGAAGAACGGCTTTGTAAGTCGTTCCGATCCTGGTTGAGTTTATGATACTCTCTGCACTGAAATTGTTGGTGGCAATCAACAAATCTGCCAACTTAACCTTGATAAGTGGTTTCTGAAACAACATAACCTGAGTAAGCTTGTGAGCTCTCAATCGCTCAGACCAACTATCCGAATCATCCCTCCCTCCCCCATACCTTCCCTTTCTCCTCTTGCCAGAATTTGTAAAATACCAATACCACATCCCGAATCCTAACAACATCGATGCAGCAGCACCAAACACTCCAGCAGCTATGATAATGGCCAAATTTTTCTTACTTAATCCCCCACATTTCCCTGCCGGACCACCACAAAGATTATTCCCACCAAAATCAAATCCAGGGTTATCCATAGCCCCGAAAAAGGAAGGAAGCCTGCCCGAAAGATCATTATTGGCCACCGAAAACTTCTTGAGCCTACTCAAACTAGAAAGCTGGGAGGGAATATTTCCAGAAAACTTATTATCATTAAGCATCAAGTTATTCAAATACACGCAATCACCGAGACCGGTTGGAATTTCCCCGGTTAAATGATTGTTGGACAAGTCTAGGGTTACTAAATAAGGCAACCAACGGCAAATTTGAGTAGGTATTGTACCAGAGAGTTCATTACCGGAGAGATCGAGGGTTTGCAAGTTGCGGCAGTACTGCAAGGCCTCCGGGAATTCACCGCTGAGGTTAAACTCCCGGAGATCCAAGCGGAACACGCGGTTCTCGCGGTCGTTCCAGCAAGTCACGCCGGCAAAACTGCAGATGAAGCCGACCGTCGTGTTGTCGAAATTCCAGAGACCCAAGTTGGATGCAGGATCCTTCAACGAGCTCCTCACACCTTTCAAGCACCCGACATCATCTTCAGCAACAGCGATTCGCAAAAGCAGAAGGAAAAGCCACAGCACAGAGGGGGAGAATACGAATCGAACCATTTCAGAAGCTGTGGATTCTGAGAGGCGACTACGCAGTGGGAGAGGTTTTGTACAGAGTTGAGCTGGAGAGAGACATTGACTTTGAATTTTCTGAATTTGCTATTTTGTAATTGCATGGAAATTCATAAGCTGTTAATTCAATGCTTTTGTAGGTTAGTGTTGGTCATGGAGTTGTTAATGATAATTAGAATGGGTTTAATGTGTTTGACTGGAGAGTTAAGGTTTGAGTGGGGTTTTCAGATCGTTAATTGAGAATTAAGAAATATGGCGATGGAAGACTGCGGTCCACAGGATTGCAGGAAGGTCCGAAAATGGCAGCTTGAATATTCAAAGCCAGGCAAAGGCTTCATAAGTTAGGAATATTTTTTTTTATTACAAGGGACGGGGACACCACAGATATACAAATTATGCCTCAATTAAAACTCAAATTCATCACCTCCCATATAGGAAAGTACCTTGGTAAGTTGTGAGTATTTAATAATTTCTTTTTTTTTTTTTTCTTAACACTTCTATCTTATTTTTACAAAGTAGTACGGAGTATTTGTTATATGTTTTTAAAATTTGTTTGAATTCAAAGAATCAAATGTCCCAATTAAAATAGTAACAGATGTGTCATTGTAATTGTAAAAAAAAAAAACACATTTAAATTCGTATTATACTTGACTAATCTTCGTTCGCACTGGACGAGCTCAATTAAGGGACAAAGTGCTGGCCAAATTAAGTTTTCCATACAAAAGGGGGTTCAAACTCCCGAGCCCTTAAGTGATGAGAGTGCACGGCCACTCACACCAACCAAACTGGGGTTTTTTTTAACATTATTTGATAATTTCTTAGAGCAACTTCATTAGTATAGGATTTTTCTTGATTTTTATAGGTTCAAGTACAAGAAAGAATGTCAAAGACATTATGGTTGAGCGGTATTAAGTGACTATGAACAGATACTACACGTAACAGGGTCAATGGTACGAAGAAAAAAAAAAGTAGGAGAGAGAATGAGGTAAAAGGAAAAAAGGAGCAAATATCAATTTTGGCCACATGAATATTAATAAAATGATACCATTTTTTATCCACAAACTATTATTTTAGTACTAATTTTCATCTACAACTATTGTTTTAGTGTCAAAATTCATTACACTGATTACCCCTTCGTTTAAGACATGTCGAAATCTACAAATTTTAAAGGTATTTTCGCCCTTTTCAACTGATCCAAATTTGAGCATTAATAAAGAGATTTAAATCATATGATTGATCTCGCTTTGCAATTTTTCTCTTCATCCTTAATTAACTAAACGTGGCAAAATCACTATACTCGGACGACCCCATTGGTATTAACTCAGTATGAGTTAATGCCATATGAGGTCCTCTGAGTATAATAGTTTAGCCACATTTAGTCATGAACTTTTAAATTAATCACGTGTGGTCCTTCAACTTTCAAATTTAATCATTTGTGATCCTCTTAGAATGACCACCGCTGGTTAAAATTTGATAATTGGAGGGCCATGGATGGTTAACTTGGAACACATATGGTAACAATTTGAAAGTCGAAGGATTATGGGTGCTCAATCTGAAAGTTTAGGACTAAACGTGACAAAATCACTATATTCGGAGAACCCCATATGATATTAACTCTAAAAAGTATAGTTGATAATTTGGATAATAATTATTGTATGATTAATAATTATTAAACTAAGAATTTTAGATATGGTAAATGATTAAATATAATTATGATATCATTTAATATATACTATAACAGAATTTTAATGTGCAAATATAATTTTGTCCAATAGCAATGATGGTACGATATTTGTTGTGCAATGTACAATATAATAACTCAATAGGCATAGAAATGATGGTACAATATTTTTTGGTGCAATGGAGGGACTTGAGGCCCCCGTTAAGTGATTTTTTGAGTATAGTCTCCCCTAGCTTCTGTGTGGAGGAAATCTTTTAAGCAATCTGGAGGTTCTTCCAACACAATCGTCCCCCACACACTATCTTGTTCAAAATTGGCGAGTCAGTCCGCACACTTGTTACCCTCCATCAAAACATGCATGATCTTAATCATTCTCAAATTCTTCATCAACATACTATACTCATCTCCCATGAAGTTCAAGTCTTGATTAGAGAACTAACTTGAATTCACTTTTTTTTTTTTTTTTTTTTTTTTTTTTTTTTTTTTTTAGATATGGAGACATTAATAAATTAAAATTTTTAGTCAAATATTATGTAACGTGATAATGCTTCGTTTACTAATCCAAATGGGTAGTCAATGATCGAATCTTGATAGTGAAGAAATGATTCAAAAATAATATAATTTTTTTAAAGGGAAAAAGGTTAAATACACACATGAATTTTATACAGGAAGTCAAACCCTTGAACTTATAAAAAGTTGCAATTAAACTTATAAACTTATGATTTTCGTGCATTCAAACATAATAATCGGCAAGAACAAATAAGGTCATACATGACATACATTCTGAAAAATAAAATAATAATAAAATATTAATATTAATTAAAAAAAAAAAAAGACAGCCATGACTTTTCGTTTAAAGTTCAATGGTGTATTAGATAATTTTTCCTTTAAAAAAAAATCCCAGTGTTCATATACTAATATAATTGGTACACATTTTTTGACTTCCATTGATTGAAGAGTTTTAAAATGAGTTCTATTATATAGACTCTTAAATCTTACTTTCTAAATTTTATTTTTTGATGTGACGGATATTGATAAGTTATTTTTTTCATGTGAATTGCAAAATAAATGTTTATATTAAGATTTTGTGTGTGTGTGTGTGTAAAATTGAGAGTAAAAAATGAAGGTGTAATATTTTCCTTTTAAAATTTTCGAAATCGTTGCCCTAACCGCGCCTTTGGTTAGCGGGACCCGCCCCCGCAGTCAGTTTGTACCCATCGGGACCCACTTTCATTATGCGGATTGCGGAAGGCGCAACCGCGCAAGAGAGGAACACGCTAGAACGACATCGTAGCGCGAAACGTTGACGCGACGTCGTACTACACCCACCCCCCCCCCCCTCCCCTGCCCGCGCGCCTTCTCAGTTCTCGTTCCAACAACGGAGAGGCTTGCTCCCGCACCGGCCTTTGTTCCCAGCTTCTTCCACTCCAGAACGCGAGCGGCATGGATGAGACCGAGGTAAATCACGTAAAACTGCAATATAAGCAAACCGTTGTTCCTGGATATGTGCTTGATCTGTATGCTGTTGATTTGAGTACGCGTAGGGAATGGAAGCGTTGAAGGCAGCTTACGCGGAGGTAATTCTGAACACGATGAAGGAGGCAGCAGATCGAGTGATGGAATCGGAGCAAAAATCTCTCCGGATTGAGCAGGATCTCCAATCCACTAAAGACGAGGCCCTCCGATTGCTCCTTCACTTGAAACACATGATCGATGCCAAGGTTTTCTCAAACTTTTCTCTCTTGAACTATTTGTTTGATTTTCATCTTAATGTGGTAAGCTTGCTGCAAATCGTCTCGATATTGATCGTTATTATGGAAGACACTGCTGGTTTAGCCTACAAATTGCTCAGTCTAGATTCCAAACTGGCAATCGTTATTGTAAAATTTGTTTGAGTTCGTATATGATGGATTTGTTTTAGACGCTGTGAGTGATTAATAGGGAGAGTAATGAGGTTGATGATTTATTCCCCCCCAGGAAGCTGAGGCTGAAATGTCGTCCATAAATCAGCAGAGAAGGATTGATGAGCTAGAAGAGCAGCTTAATGAAGCAGAAGGTCTGGTAGTAGACCTCCGAGCAGAACTGAACTTGGTTCGGGACGAATTGGGTGAAGCGAAGAAGAAGAAGAAGAAGAAGACGATGATTGTCAAGGATGATCCTGTTTTAAGCTCTATGATCACAAAATACAAAGAGGCTGAGATGTACAGAAATGGATTCATGGAAAGGATTAGTGCAGTAGAGATGAGCACAGCGGATGAGAAATTGCAGCCTGGAGATGATCCATGTTTTGGTGCTCACAGTAAACCAATCAGAGAATGTACTGAAACAAAGGCAGATGTGCATGTGGAAGCTTCATTGAAAATAATGAAGAAAATGGAGAATCATATACATCAGCTTAAAGGTAACGTGAAAAAGGACCGTCCAACTAGGTTCCATGGAAAAATAAGAAGAAGAAAAAGTTGCCATGGCAAAGCAAAAGCCAATTTGCAGAGGTGTAGAAACTACTCAAGCACGGGCAACAAAATCGATCCTCGTGGTTTTACTGCCACTAATGTCGAGAAAATAAATACATTGGATAACTCTTGCGTTTTGGGAGAAAAAGTGCAGCAAAGCATTGCTCAATCTGCTCTAGTTCGCAGAAGTGTGAGGAAAAGGAAAATCAAGTACTGGGATGATGCTGCTTCTGTGTGGAGGTCTCATGACTTTCACTCCAACCAGTGCAGAAAAGTTTCCCAACCATGTCACAAGTCCAAACCAGTCAAATGCAATGTAAAGTTCACTGAAGACCGGTTGGAATCACAGAGTGTTGTTGAGATTGAGAACCATGCTGAGTGTATAGCATCACAGCATGCACCCGAAGAATTGAATAGGGAATCTGAATGCACACATAATACAACCAGAGATATCACAGAGCAGGATAGTCATGCTACCCCGCTCAAGTTGGAGGGTAGACTACTTATATCTGACAGTGATGCGAAAACATCTCAAAGAAGCGACGTGACTTTGGATCAAACTGATACAGAGGGGCGACTCAGGTACACATTCTCTAGGAAACGGAAGAAGAATTCCCTTATCAACCCAGATGAGAATGCTTCTGGAGAGCAGGATACTACCATGGCGGATGGTTCACCGAGGAAAAACAGACAGCTGGCACAGGTTGCTCACCAGGTGAGTGATAAATTATCACTTGCTATCTGATCGACAAAATTGTTATTATTATAGTAAGTCATAATAGTGCAATACATATAATCAAGCTGGTTCATGCACAATTTCATAACCCCATAGTAATCTTTTGTTCATGTTCATGCAGCTTATTTCTTTGTCTGGAAAGTGGTCATAAATTAATGGGAAGAACTCATGGAAAAAGATGAGATTTGAGAAGATGTAGGTTAAAAGCTGGGTGGAGATGTTCATGCTGTCTTTTCCAGGGTGCACCAGCTTGTGTAAGTTAATGTTTTGCATCTATGTAAATATACTATGTTGTTGCCACTATTGGGGGCATTATGACTTATGATTTGATGTTATTCTTAACTTTTGTTTTAAATTATAGACTAGAATTACAATTAGGAAAATATTACTCCTTCTACCTAACAGCCTAACTTTCTCTCACAAAACTCACAAAATTTGAATGTTGACATTTTCATTTTGACCAACAAAATGAAAATAACTAATTATCAATTGCCACATCAGAGAGTAAAAGTGAGGAAGTAGAAATGAGGAGCACATGCAGTAGCAGAGACGGGGGCAGTGGGGGCAGTGGGGGCAGCTGCCCCCACTCCCCCACCCCACCCCTTTATATATATGTATGTATATATAAACATATATAGCATTAAATGTTATATAAAATTTATATTTATGTTTAATGTATTAATAGTTAGAATAGCTTAGTTGGTTTACTTTTAAATTTGATTTTTAAAAAAGTGTATGGTCATAGGTTCGAATCTCATTAAAAATACTTTTCCTTATCTTCACTTATTTATTTTATATCTCATTCCTTCTCAAGATAAATATTGTTTAGCCTACTTTTATGAATCGTTTAATTAACAAATTAAATGCTCTTTTAGTTTATTTTTTATGAATCATTTAATTAATGTAGTAATGTAGTATACACGTTTATATTATACTTCATTTTATTCAAATTATTTTATCTAATTGATTATGTTTCATATTTTGTCATAAATATTTTTACATTTTCACCTCACTCAAGTATATTTTTTGCTCCGACTCTAACTATCGTTTAATCTATCAAAAATATTCTATTGCAATTTATTATAATATATTTTGTATTTTAACCTTATGACTGTTTGATATTTCGTAATTGATATTTATAACTGTCATTTAAACTTCGCCCCCGCTCAAGTATTTTTCTGGCCCCGTCCCTGTGTAGTAGAATACTAGAATTCTTACCAGTGTTGTAAAACTCGGCCGCCTAGCCGCCCGCCTAGGCGCTAGGCGGCCACTTGCCTTGGAGTTTTGGCATATAGGCGGCCAAAACTCGGTTGGCCGCCTAGGCGGCCGCTAGGCGGCCTGGGCGGTCAAACTCGGCCGAGTCGGTCAACTCGGCCAACTCGGCCGAGTCGACCGATTTCGTCCGATTTTGACCGATTTTGATCGATTTTGTCTGATTTTGACCGATGTCGTCTTTCATTAATTATTGATTTTAATATTATTATGACATTATGACTTATAAATTATCATTATTTCATTTATTTAGATGTGTTATTTGAGTGAACGTTGAAAACAACCTCATTAAAATTGTCGAACTACAAGTCTGTCACTATTTTTTTTAATTTTTTTGGTGCCCGCCTAGCGCCGCCTAGAATCCGCCTAGGCGCCGCCTAGACCACCTAGGCGCTAGGCGCTGCCCGGCCGCCCGACTAGCGCCTAGCGCCTACTGCAACCTTGATTCTTACAATTATAATTAAGTGAAAACATAGCATCCTGATTCTGTTTCGGATAAAACAGTAGTGAAAGCATAGTGTTTTGGTTGCAGTTGTGTGGTCGGGTGATTCAAGGTGCAATCGTTATAAGGTGGATCGTGGCTATTTTGGTAAAACTTATTTTAGAGCTTATAGGATATAAGCTAGGCCTGTTTGGTAAAATATGGTAGCTTAAAATAATAGCTTATTTTGAAATGCTTCCAAGTACCGTTTTGGTAGCGTTCAAAACAAGTTCCTGACTTTTTTACTTTTTTTTTTTTTATTATTATTAATTTACACAAATGAAACCATTTACTATTCATTAATTAAAATAATTTTAATATCTTAATTTATTCTTTTATGTTTTTTTACACTTATCGACTAATTCAACAATTATTTTTATCAAATACTTTAATTTTAACTAGTTAGCTTAATTTCAACTAGTAAGCGTGCTAAACATAGCCTATGTATAAAATAAAATTAAATAGCAGAGCACATACAGATATGTATATTGTCAAATGAATCTATAGTAGAATTAAAATGATACTTTAATGTTATTATAATGAACCTATTGTAAATATAAAATGAAATTGAATAGCAGAATTCATATAGCTACTGAGTTAAGTCTGTCCGGACAATTTTAAACTTATTTTAGTATATTTTAGTATAAAAGCGAATGAGGTTTTTTTTCTTTTTTGTTCTTTTTTAAAAGGAAATGAAAAGCTAGTGAGGGGAGACAATGAGACATGGTGGGGTCGATGGTAAGAAGGCAGGCATGCCAAAGACCCGTCACGTCCCATTTCGATGCCACTCCCCGTAGGCCGTATCATACCCTAACCATTCTCATTTCTTTGAACAATCACCTCTCGCCGTTTGCTTCCATATCTAAGGCATCATTATCAATATTCATGACCATGAGTTGTTATGATAAATTCTAATTAGGAGATAGTTTTAAATCCATACAATATCATACTAAATTCTTTTTGCATCAAATCGATTCAATTAAAGAACAAAGTACTTGACATATTCATCTAAAGTCAATAAGCCAACATTTGTCATGTGAATTTGACTCACATAATTATGTAGCTCTACATACCATTCAAATGTTACAAGCTAGCGTCATGATTTTAACTTTGGTTTGTTTAAAATGCCCTTAAAGGTAGTAGGGTGAGATTTGATGAATTTTTAAAGTTGAAACAAATCAATGTGGAATAAACTATCATGTTAAATATTTAGTTTATTCAACATAAAAATGAGCCATGATACAAAAATAAAAATAAAATTCCCAAGACCAAGAATGGATGGAATTATAATAAATCATCATTCTATATGTGAAAAAAATTTCACTCCTCTACTCATATGTCTTATTGAAGAAGGCCATATATTGTTGTTACACAAGTACATACACTTTTTATTTAAGCATATAAGCAATAATATAATACTCCCTCTGTAGTATCTGTTCATATACTTTCTCAACCTACTGAAACACAAAGAACCAATAACGCCTAACTCACAACCTTCCAAATAGAAGTCCAACCCGGGTACCATTAGATCACATCGTCTTGTTTTTGTTTGTTTTTTTTTTTTGTTTTTTTTTTTTAAGAAAAGCTTCAAAACATATAAATTTTGTATATTAATACTAAATTTAATATTATAAAAAATTGAATTACAAATAATTTCTGTAAAGTTTAAATCAGACACATAAAATTGGACAACCGAGTAATTAGAAAGAGATTGGGAAGGAAAGGAAAGAAAAATACTACATGTACTCTCATTCTAAACTCTCAATTTTTACTCTCACACTTCAAATATTGATGTAGACACTTTTACAGTGAATCTTATAAAAAAATTGACCTATCAAAGCGATCACATCAGAGTACATGTGGTAGAACTCGGGAAAGAAATGCGGGTAGTTTGAGTAGGTTTTGGCAAACATGGTGGATGGGAGTAATGATAAGTCAGAACACAGAACAAAAGAACAGAAAGAGAGTTGAGTGAGTGTGGAAGGGAATGTCTTCTTGTCTGTGTGAGAGCAGACTCAATTGTCACGTCATCTGATCATTGCATACCCCAATATGCGGTGCACCCTGGCCCCTCCCCACTCCCCTCTCTCCACTCACCATGCTTACATATATTATATCAATCCTCTGCTATATGCTCTGCTCAACAACGAACACATAACCCCCAAATTGAAGATCCATGGAGGCGACGAAGAAACAAGGAGGCAATGGCCATCACGACCTTCACGTCCAAGCAGTATGGTTCGCTGCCGGAACAGCCGCGTTGATGGCGTGCCTGGAACGCGCCGTCGTGGTGTCGTTCGTTGAGCAGTGGCGCGTCCTCGTCTTCCTCGCGCTCAACCTCTTGCTATTAGCTATCCTTTTCACTTCTACACGCCCAAATTCTCCGCCAGAAACCCTAATAAACACCCCAATTATTAGCTGCACCACCGCAGAAGAAGCAGATGAGGCGGCGATTGAGAAAGAAGCAGAAGCAGAAGCCGAAGAAGATGCAGAAGATCCAGTTGATGATTTGAAATCTGCAGATATGTCTAAGGAAGAACTGAATGAAAGAGCAGAGGCTTTCATTGCTATGTTTAGGCAGCATCTGGCTTCTGATGCTTTTGCTTTTCACAAAACTACAACTAACAACCTTACTTTCTGCACACAATTAGCTAAGTGATCCATAGAATTGAAGTTTTGTCTAGCCCAGGCCCCTTTCTGCTACTGCTGGAAATCCTGGAATAGAATGCCTTATATATATAATATAGTTTCTGACCATTATATTCTTATATTTTTCTTCCCTCATCATCCATTCTACTCTACACACACACACATATATATATATAGATTTTGGTTCCTGTGAGATCACCTCTTCCCGTGCGGTCAGTGCAGCATACACCATTAAGGGAGCCTTTGAAGTTGGGATTTAAGTATTTAACCTTTTGGGAACAATAGTATATATTTATTTATAAAATAGTTCTTCCAATTCAAAGGGCTTCGTTTGTTTAATTAATGCACAAGATGTTTTCAGAGGAAAGTTCTTTTGACTCAATTAAATGATTAATATAATGCTTCATCTAATCTAATCTAATTCTTTAATTATATTTTTGAATTTTTCATTTTTAGTAGTTTTTATCATACTTTTATTTATAGAAATTGAATACATACTTATTACTTATATTTCAAAAATCTAAAACAAATTAACTCCATTTTACATAGTGTCTTACAAACCCGTTCTATTCCAATCGTTATATCCTACACCACGGCACACATAGCACTGTGCGCCGCGCGCCTCCCAAAACGACGTCGTTTTGTGGTCGTGTTGGGAGGCGCGGTAGGAAGTTGCTGAGATTATGTGTATTCGTTCACAACGTTATGTGTATTCGTTCACAACGTTATGTGTATTGGTTCATACAGTTATGTGTATTTTTTATACAATTATGTACATTGTTTTTATACAATTATGTACATCCGAATCAGAAAATTTGTGTGTATTATGTTAAGAGTTGATGTGTATTATGTTAAAAGTTTATGTTTATTATGTATTATGTTAGATTATGTGTATTATCTTTTAAAAAGAGTATGTATATTTTGTTATAACATTATGTGTATTCATGTATAACATTATGTGTATTCAAGTATAACATTATGTACATTCTTGAACAGCGGGGTTTTTTTAAAGAAAAGCCTACTGCCATTCACTGGGGCGGGAAATTTCAAAAAAAAATAATAATTAAAACGACGTCGTTTTGCATCTGGGCGCATAGTGCAATGTACGCCGTGGTGTAGGATATAAATTGCCGTTCTATTCTATTCCATTCTTGAAGGAGTTGTGATCTCTTAGTTAGGGCTTGGTTATGGTGTGGATGGTTTTCCGGGTGTAAACAAGCAAATAAATCTGATCCGTTCATTTAAGGATGATTAAAGACTAAAAATAAATGAAAATAGTAAAAGTACAATGATATTTTTATAATTTTCTCTAATTTATGATTATATATTTAAAAATATTTGACAATACACTTGGAAATGTTTTGAATGCACGGAAGACACTATTACCTTCCCCTTCGTGTCACTACAAGAGTTTCGAAATTCACTTTCAATTATCCGCAAATATCCTATTAAATATTTTCAAATGCCTAATCATAATTGCAAAAAATTATAAAATTGTCAATGCTTTTTATCTCCCTTATTATTGATTTTCAATATTTGATCAACTTTAAATGGACGGACTAATGGGGTATTTGGTTGGATGTAGTTGCAATTCAATTACAGTCTAATTCTTTGGTCACTAGAATTACAATGTTTGGTTGGAGGGAATTGCAGTTCCTCATTTTGTTGAATTGCAATTCATACCCTCCCCATATGGCCATATGAATTGCAATTCAATGGAGAAAGGAAAGGGAAAATGGAGGAAATGACTTTTTTACCCTTGATTATTATTAGAATTATTATTACACAATGACATTTTAGTTTTTATGCCACTCCTTCCCTTCCCATTCTCAATAATTATATTCCTCCCCAGTTAGGCCTGTGCGTCGGACGGTTCGGATACTCGGAGGGCCAAACCGCACGGATTTCGGATTATTATTTTTAAACCCAATCTCATTGTATCAATTTGTAAAATCTTTTCGGTTTTATAGGATTTCGGTTGAGGACGGGTCGGTCGGATATCCGAATGCATCTCGGATATTTAAAATATAAAAACAAAATTAAATAATTGACTAAAACGTGTAAAAATTAAGTAAAACTGAAAAAATTTACAAAAACATGTAGTGCACTGTGCACAAACTACATGTAAAGCTACTAAACTAGACAACTAGTACTTAGACAGTTAGACTCCAAAAAGTCAAATGGGCAAGGGCAATTATGAATTTGCTTATACAAAATGTAAAACTGTAAAAGTAGCCAATTTCTAAAAAACACTGCAGCAACCACCATTGCACCAAATTACCAAAATTACAGTAATTCAAAAAATATCCAAGTTCCTAGCTCAGATTGCTCAGTAGTTCCTACTTTAGCTCTAGCCTACTGTTCTTCTTCTTCCTGTCAATACTCAAAACTTAAGATGAATTACCAAAAACAAAATAAGTTATAAAACTATAAAAGGTAGAAAATAAGATATTAAACATTGGCTCAGTAAGCTTTTTGTCCATATCAAAGTTAGGATTAAAGGCAAATTGCTACAACATCCCCATGAGGATAGAGCAACATACCAGCTTAATCCCTTATTTCAGATCATTGGTGGAAGCTTTCATCATCGCCATAACAAATAGTTAAATTATTTAAAGTCTTAAATACATAATACAATGATACATTACCAGCAGTACAGCACCCTTGAGTCCAACAACAAACTTACCAACTAACAGTTATACCACTGTGGCACTGTCCAGTGCACCAAGGTCCAAGGGCAGCAACCAACAAGTTAGTAAGTTACCAAGCCTCATTAGGACAACTAGACAACTAGGCAGCAACTAATTACTAATTAGTTACCAAGCCTCATGAGTCACGAGTAATACAGTATACAGATTACATTAATGCAAGAATATAAAGTAGTATAAAGTATAACGCATAACATTACAGGAATCGTAGGAAGTGTAGAACCACCAATCCTCCCAGCTCCACTCCCACCATCAGCACCCAATTCTGCAAATACAAGGACAAGTTTAAAATAAAAGTAAATAGAAAATGCAGGAAAGTTAAGTGTTAGTATGTTACCTTGTTCAAATCTCTCCAATTCCTCCAGATTTTCCTCAATTGATATGGGGGTATTAGGCAGTCTAAGCCAATCCTGAGTACAAACCAGAGCTTCCACAATTTTAGGAGTTAAAGAACTCCTAAAAGGATCTAAAACCCTCCCTGAAGTACTGAAGGCAGATTCTGAGGCAACAGTGGATATTGGTATAGCTAAGACATCCCTAGCTACTTTTGAAAGGATAGGAAATCTTTCAGCATTCAGCTTCCACCATCTAAGTATGTCAAAAGAAGATTCTTCTTCAACTAATGCCTCAGCAAGGTAAATTTCCAACTCAGTTTTTTTCTTTCCCCCACTCTCCATTCTTTGTTTCTTAATCTGGGACTTTAACAAACCCTGGGGCTTCCCAACATTAGACTGTGAAGAATCAGTAGAAGAGATGACAGAAACAGTAGGGACAACAGTAGAAGGAATCACAGGAGCAATAGGGACAACAGAGGCAGCATAATCATCAAACAACTCTGTAAAAGCTGCAACCACTTTCTCATAGTAGGTTTTACCTTTTAACTCACCATACATGTGTAAGATCTGTGCTGGCATGTACTCTAATTTGTCCCTGGGGTCAAGAATGTTTGCAAAGAATATCATCAAGTTCATCTTATCTATATCCCCCCAATACTTTTCAAATTTAACCTTCATAGTTTCCCCCATCAATTTCACAGAACCACCAGCTTCCACCATTCCATTCAATAGGCAATATAAATCAGAAATTTCAGAAAAAAAAGTGTTAGATGTGACATATAAAGAACCTGAAATTCTTATTGTCATATCATAAAAACACTTCAACAGATTCACCAAACTCTTCACAAACTCCCAATCAAGAAAGTTAGGAATAGAATCACCCAAATCTGATTTGAAGGAAGAATCACTTTCTTCAAGTGAATAAAACACTTTCTCATAAAATACTGCAGATTGTAACATAAGATATGTAGAGTTCCATCTGGTTGGAACATCTAGACACAGAGAAGATTTCTTTTCAATCCCAAGCCATTCAGACAAGTCCTTAAATTTCTTAAGTCTAGCAGGTGAACTTCTCACATACCTTACAGCATCCCTAACCTTCTTCACAGAATCATCACACTGTTTTAGCCCATCTTGCACAACTAAATTCAAAATATGGGCAATGCATCTCATGTGAATGTACTTGCCCTTCACAGTAGATGTTCCCCAAGACATCAATTTCTTTTTTAAAAAACCTAGGGCAGTGTCATTTGATGATGCATTGTCCACTGTAATAGTGTAGACATTTCTAATACCCCAATCCAGTAAACAGTTTTCAAGGGATTTTGCAACAGACTCACCTTTGTGTGATGTGACAGGGACAAATGAAATAATTTTTTTATTTAGCCTCCACTCTTCATCTATAAAGTGAGCAGTAACTACCATGTAGTTAATTCTCTGAATAGAAGTCCAAGTGTCAGTAGTAATACTGACTCTTTGAGTGTTTCCCCTAAACATGCACTTCAACTTGAGCCTTTCCTCTTCATAAATCAAATTGATGTCCCTACTAATTGTCCATCTTGATGGAATCTTAAACCTAGGACAACATACCAGAATGAACTTCCTAAATCCAGGACCTTCAACAAATCTAAAAGGGAGTTCATCTATTATAATCATTTCAACTAAGGCCTTCCTAATAGCTTCTTGATTAAAGACCCAAGTTCCTAACTCACCAACAGTAGCAGGAGATGCATCAGAATTGGTAACAGCTTGAAAGGTCAGAAGTGATTGCCTTGTGTCTTTTGAGTGAGGGTTTTTAAGACAGTTAAACATGTGGGTTCTCAATGATGAAGTACCATGTTTTTTGGTCTCACATTTATATATTTTGGCACAATATATACACTTGCCCTCAACAGTAACATTATTCTCATCAACAATCTTTTCAAAATGATCCCACACAGGAGATCTGGATTCAACTACATTCCTTTTCTTCGGAAGAACCGCAGCAGTAGGTTGCACATTCTGTTGATCATTATTTATCTCAACAGTCTGAGCTTCCACCACTGTAGATCCATGAAGTGAAGAGTTGGAAGGTTGACTACCAGACTCTATGATATTTTCCATCTAAAGAAATGGAATACTATCAGTACAGTGGGAATCATTTCAAAGAATGTCAGAATTAGAGAAATCCAGAATCAGAAGACAGGCA